CCTTTCTTTTTCTTTTTCTTTTCTTTTCTTTTCTTTTTCTTTCTTTCTTCCTTTTTTTTCTTTTCTTTCTTTCTTCCTTTCTTTTTCTTTTTCTTTCTTTCTTTCTTCTTTCTTTCTTCCTTTCTTTTTCTTTTTCTATCTTTCTTTCTTCTTTCTTTCTTCCTTTCTTTTTCTTTTTCTTTCTTTCTTTCTTCTTTCTTTCTTCCTTTCTTTTTCTTTTTCTTTCTTTCTTCCTTTCTTTTTCTTTTTCTTTTTTTCTTTCTTCTTTCTTTCTTCCTTTTTTTCTTTTTTCTTTCTTTCTTTCTTCTTTCTTTCTTCCTTTCTTTTTCTTTTTCTTTCTTTCTTTCTTCTTTCTTTCTTCCTTTCTTTTTCTTTCTTTCTTCCTTTCTTTTTCTTTTTCTTTCTTTCTTTCTTCTTTCTTTCTTCCTTTCTTTTTCTTTTTCTTTCTTTCTTTCTTTTCCCTTGTATACATTCTTTTTATTTTTTACCATTTCCCTTATTTCCTTTTTTCTTTCATTTGTTTAATTATTTATTTCATTATTTAATTCAAGATCTATACTTACCTTCCAATCCTTTATTTCTTTTGTCATATTAAATCCTTATTCTTATTGTTCCTTTAATATTATTATTATTATTATTTTCTTTGATTTCTGGCGTTTACACATTTCTTCCGGGTCTCGCCCAGGGACCTAAGGTTAGAAATGGCATCATGACACTTTTCACTGACAAAAAAAAAAAAAAAAATTACATAGATAAAGCCCTTTGTAAAGTGTGGGCTGTACTTGACAAAACAATTTTTTTGTATCTCCTTGAGGCATGGACTTCCAGGAATCCCTTCAATTAGTCTACTGCAATCTTTTCCAACCAGTCTTAGTGCTCCAACTACAACAGGGATTGTTGATGTTCCCATATGCCACATTTTCGAGATTTCTATTTCAAGTTCCTTGTACTTTGACAGCTTTTTGAATATCTTCAAAGATACATTGCAGTCTGCAGGGACTGCCATATCAATAAGGAGGCACATTTTCTGTTTGTGTTCTTTAATAACAATATCTGGGCGGTTGGCTTTGATTGTTCTGTCAGTGTGTATTGTGTAGTCCCATAGAATTGTAACAGGCCCTATCTCCGTAACCGGGTCTGGGTGGTGTTCATACTAGTTTCTTTCAGTTTCCTTCCCGTAAAAGTTGCAGATTTTCCAGTGCAGATATTGGCCCACTCTGTCATGTCGGGTTTTATATTCAGTGGGTGCCAACACCGTGCAACCTGATACAAGATGATCAATCGTTTCTGGATATTTATCACAGAATCTGCATTTTGGGCTGACACAATATTTTAGTATATGTGCTTGATAATTCCTAGTTAGCAAGCATTGGTCCTGTGCAGCAAGGATAAAACCTTAAGTTTCAGCTTTCAACCCTGCATTACGTAGCCACTGATGGGTACCGGTTTTATCTACGTCAGCTTGTTTGGTACGGGCAGAGTATTGGCCATGAAGCGGTTTATCTTGCCATCGCGTCTGTATCTGGTCGGTTGCATTCGTCTTTGCTGTCTTTTTTAAGTATTTTGCCGTTCCAGTCGGTGTATTGTACCGTACTTGCATCTCTAAGCCCATTTGAAACTCTATTTTGAATTTGTTTGCTTCTTTTATTACGGAGTAAAGACGCTTACTAATTTAATGTTCCTTGACGCATACCATCATCCAGTCTTCTGTAGTTTCCAAGTATCTTTGGAGGCCAATTGTTGTAGTTTTGTAGGACAGTTCTAGTTGAACTAATCCTCTGCCTTCTTCGGATCTGGGCACATACAGACCATCAACATCAGCTTTGGGATGATGCATGCGATATCAAGTGAGAAGCTTTCTCGTTTTGGCGTCCATTCGCTTAATTTCAGCTATGGTCCTGTTAAGGACATTAAAGCTGTATTGCACCACAGGGACAGCCAATGTGTTTATGGCTGATATTCTGTTTTTTGAGTTTAGCTCAGTATTTAGTACACGCCTGTAGTACTCTTTTCTCATTTTTTCCTTCATTTGGGGGTGTTGTATGCCATCTCCTTCGCTAATTCCTAGGTACTTATAAGCTTCATCATGCTCCAGTTCCCTAATCTTTGTGACAAAATCTAAATCTATTAAGGGTGTTTCTGCAATTCTACCTTTCTTGAATGTTACTTTTGCACATTTATTATTATTATTATTATTTCATTTCATTTGATTTCTGGTGTGTACTCATTTCTTTCCGGATCCCGCCCAGAGACCTAAGGTCAGAAATGGCATCATGATATTAGCAATTTAAAAAAAAACAAACAAAAACAAAACACACATCTTTTGCATAGATAAAGCCCTTCATAAAGTGTGGGCTGTTGTCGTGATAACTTTTTTTGTATTTCATTAAGGCATGGGCTACCAAGAATCCCTTCAAATCATCTACTGGAATCTTTTCCAACCAATCCGAGGGCTCCAACTACAACAGGAATTGTTGATGTGCCCATGTGCACATTTTTAAGGGTTCTTGTATTTTGATAGATACAATAAAATGACTGATATGTAAATAAGGGGGCATTTTTTTTCTTTGCGGTCTGTAATAACAATGTCTTAACGATAAGCTTTGATTGTTCTCTCTGTGTGTATCGTGCAGTCCCATAAATTGTTACAGGCCCTATCTCCTTAACCCGTTCTAAGTGGTGTTCATACCAAATTTCTTGCCGTTTCCTTTTTTGTAAGTGTTGCAGATTTTCCAGTGCAAATATTGGCCCACTCTGTCATGCCGGGTTTTATATTCAGTGGGTGCCAATACCGCGCAACCTGATACAAGATGGTCAATTGCTTCTGGATAATTATCATAGAATCACACACACATCCTGCCTTTATATATATATATATATATATATATATATATATATATATATATATATATATATATATATATATACGTTTTGTTGCTTTTTGATTTGCAGATTCCAAGGAGTTACTTTCATTTTTCCCCATTAAATCGTGAGGCGTCCAAACATCGTAATGATACACGTATTCAAATTTCTTTCTTCTTTTTTTTTTCATACCTTACAACGATCATGGGATCATATGAGATATATGGAATATCTTTTCGATCTCCTGTGTCGTGTGAGCAGCATTATTACCTACGGAAAATATCTATCTGGAAATAAAAGATAACAAAAAGGCATCTGATTTTTCCTTCATTTTAACATTAAAATATTTATTAACCCTCTCATTCTCTGTTTTGCCATCTATTTACATAAGCTTGTTAATTATCTTAATTAATGTTCTCTTCTGTTCCTCTGTCATTCAGTATGCCCTGTGAGTATCAAATTCTCCAGGTCTCCCTTCCGCATTGTGCATCCCAGAAATTTCAACTTTTCTTTCTGATTTTAAATACAAGTGCCCTTTTTGTCCCTACTGTACTTAAAATTTCCTCGTTGGTCACATTTTCTGTCCAAGGTATTCTCAGTATCCTTCTGTAGAACCACATCTCTATGGTTTCAAGTCTATGTGAGGAAATTGCCCAACATTCACTAGATGTGTTGATATTATAAAGTAATTTAGAACTCTTTTATGTGTCTGTAACAAAATTTTCCTGTTTTTTAATACTTTGCTTAGATTTTGGAAGGTATCTTTCAATATCCCAATGTAACTTCGGACTTCTGTGTCGCCTTTTATAATACTTCCTAAACAGTTCAATTTCTGCCGTCTTGATTTTGACATTCCCAACTTGTAGCACGCTTCTTGGGCTGTCCCTTTTGCTAACAACCATGTTTTATGTCTTTTTGACATTGATAATCCTTTTTTCCCACTTTCCTTTAGTATACTGTCTAGGAGTTCCTGTTTCTATGTTCCCCATCAACACTGTACCATCTGCGTATGTAATGTTGTTAAGATTATTATTATTATTATTATTATTATTATTATTATTATTATTATTATTACGAGCAGCCATACCCAGCTGGTCGATTAGAAAAAAGCGTTCAATTAGAATGGAGCAAAAACAACATCAAGTTTAGATGTAAGAGAGTCTATCTTCTTATTTTAAAGTACTTTCATTAAAAAAAAAAATTAAATTAATGTAGTTACTGATACAACTGTAGTCTGTATTTATTCAATCGAAGTTAGCCAACGACATGAATGATTAAGACAGGCAAAATGAAATCTACGGGGGGTATATTGTTCTCGTTCCACTGTTTGTGTTTATGGATATCTTGTCTTTATTATTTAATACTGCTCAGTTAATGGTTGCCCTGCTTCCAACAAGTCAAAATCTGAACCTGTACAACCTGACCAAAGGATTGAATTCTCAATTACTAGACCAAAAAATTAATGAACCAATACTTTAATTGACTTAGATATTGACCTGTAGGACTTGACTCTTGAATAAGTCTGGAGGGGAACAGTTGAAATGCTGTGATAACAACAACAAAAATGAGGATAGAAATTATCAAATTGGTACGGATCCAATGTGATATACCAATGAAATATTAATAAAGAGGAGGACATTAGTAGTCCGAATGTAAATAATATAAAGTAGCAGCCATAATCAGCTGGTCGATCAAAAAAAAAGCGTTCAATTAGAATGGAGCAAAAACAGCATGAGTTTAGATGTGACAGAGTCTATCTTCTTCAATTACTTTAAAGTACTTTCATTAAAAAACATTTTGAATTAATGCAGTTACTGATATAACAGAAATAGTCTATATTTATTCAATTGAAGTCAGCCAAGCACATGAAGGGTTAAAACAGGCTACATGAAGACCCACTTCAGACCGCAATTATTTTGGAGTTTTTGAAATTCAGTTTGTCAGTGTGACACCAGGGATGTAAAAGAGGATACACTTATAAAGCAATTGTTAAGTTTGATGAAGATGGGTTGAAAGATCAACGAAAAGTAAGAAAGTAACCTGTAAAAATCGCCATGTTTCGCTATTTACGCGGATTTTCACTATATGGGTAGACTCAGTTATCAAGTTAAATGACTGTTAAACAATGAACTTTTTGTTGGCTACAATTGAGTGAAGTTTGTATTAGACTGCTTGGAAATTGAGGGAGATTTTAGTTTAAAATTTGTGTTGAAATTGATTTGTGTTGAAATCGATTTTTCGTTTTTCGCTAAACGCAGTGGCGTAAGAATAAAAATGAGCCGTCGCTGAGCTCGTCATGATGTAAGTAACCTACATAGCAAGTTTGAACGAAATTGCAGGAAAAGTTGAATTTATCGAGTTTTGATCGGCCTTATCAATTATTGATTTTTTCCGCTAAGAGCCTATCTTTTACATTGTACAATGTATGTACTAAATTTGGTCAAATTCGGTTGGATGAATCTCAAGTGAAATGGTATCATACAGACAGTCAGAGACATCATTTGTTTTATATATAGAGAATAACTCGTTGAAATGTCACCTTTCTATATATGGACATGCCATAGATTTCTTTCATGTGAAATGAAATCAGGTATTTAACTAA